GTCGCTACGCTAAATTTTCGTCGCAATAATTCTCTAAATGAAAAGCAGTGGGCCTAAAAGTATACTGAAGCGAAAAGTAATAGCTGTAATGTGTAACTAATCGGCCAAGTCTGGCATGTAACTAAATGTTGCGTGTTGTTAGGCGTTCCTGCTATTCTTTTGGAGATTTTTGGCGATCAAAATCAGCTGTAGCAAATGCTGGGAATCTTGCTGCTGGTTTTCGATGGAGATAGTGCTTTTTAAACTTTTAATAGCTCTCAACAAAAGCGAAAAACTCATATATGTACATAAAATTACGCACAAGAAATTTCTTAAGTCCTTTACCAAAATTTCTTAAATCAGTTTGAATCTCTCAAGAAAAATGCTCGTATTTTTATTTCTTCAAGAAAATTTACAGCGAAAGGGAAGTTCTTTTTCAACAGAAATAATAAAAAATTTGTCTTGTGATTTTTCTTGAGAGCTGGATTCTTAGCTTTAAGATACAGTTCGTATTTGAGGTTATTAGCTTTAGGGGGGGTTTGAACCCCAAAACCCATACCTTGTGTGCGCTAGTGCATATAGGTAACTCCTTTTAGTGCTGTCGAAAGCGGCTTTGTTGTTTTTCAGCCGAGTTATTACTATTCGTACCTCGTCATAATTAGGCTCCGTCATCATCGACTGGAGGCGCAGGTTCGCTTCTCCACAACTTTCCGTGTTACCGCCATTCAGTAGGCGTACGTCTAAAACACTGTGCAACGTGACGTAGCGGGACAAACAGTATATAATTATTGTGAGTATGCCGGCAACAATACACCAAAAGTTCATCGCCATCAGATGAGCCTTTCTATACGAACCTTTCTATAGTAAGACCACGAGTTTTTGCTTATACGACATGTCCAACCAGCCTATCCATAACAACTTGTTTCGCAGTGCCTTACTTAAAAGGAAGTAAACTGGGCTTAAGAGCAAATTCTTCAATTTCGCGCTGCACGAAAGACAATGCCTTTATTATTAATTTGGCATTGAAAACAACGAAAGGCAGGCAACAGCACCTTCAAATATGGCTCATGAAAAGCTTTACACTCAAATACATAAAAAATAAAGAACACTTTATTTTCTTTATAAATCGAAATGCTTTATAAATCAAAAAAGGCCATCAGTATTTTAAAAAGTATTCTCAATAGGATCTTACAAGCAATAGTGGGATTCGCGCTTCTGTGTATTCGTTGTATCTTGCGAAAGTGTAACTGGATGAGCGTGTGATTGTTGTTTCGAGTGTATTTATTGTACCACTAGCAATTTTGTAGACTGGCAATCGGCATCGTCTCTATATGGTTCATGGTTCTCCCACATTAAAAGCCCCACCTGGGTCGACCAGAAAAAGCGTTTATAATTTTTTTCATATTTCAATTCTGATTCCTAATACCATTAGCTATCATGTTCCGTGCAGCGGCGAAGTCGATCAGCCTATTACCGTTGTCGGAACTGTTATAATGAAGGCTGAACCAGCCATAATAAATATCACACACTGCATATTAAATGCAGTCGTGGTCGTCATTCGCATTTTCTTAATAGCGCTGATGTCAGCCTTGTATTTTTCTAATACAACCAGTAATAGAGTAGAGAGAATTCAGATCAGGGATGGGCGAAATCAAGAAAATGAATAATTGAATAAAAAAAAAATAAGAATAAATTTTCATTCATCATTTCAAAAATTTTGAATGACGAATAAATTTTTATTCTTTATTCAAGCACTTTAGAATAATGAATAAATTTTTATTCTTTATTCAAACATTTTCGAATGATGAATAAATTTTTATTCTTTATTCAAACACTTTCGAATGATGAATAAATTTTTATTCTTTATTCAAACATTTTCGAATGATGAATAAATTTTTATTCTTTATTCAAACACTTTCGAATGATGAATAAATGTTTATTCTTCATTCTAGCACTTTCGAATAATGAATAAATTTTTATTCTTCATTCAAGTAATTTCGAATAATGAATAAATTTTTATTCTTCATTCAAGTAATTTCGAATGAAGAATAATTTTTTATTCATGATTCAAGTAATACTGAATAACGCATAATTTTTCATTTATTCTTTCTTTCTTGATCACAGTACCAGCTAGACGATTAGAAAATATAATATTAAAATCTACATGTGTATGCATATAAGCATGAATTTGTTTAATTATCTGTATATGTACATATATAATACGTGAAGGGATTTTTTGGCCAGGTCACCAGATCTGCACTGTTCATTCGATTTTAAAAAATGAGGTGTCAAATGAAAGGGCTCGCGCTGTAGAAGTGCTATAAGATTTTACTTTTTCGAAAAGAGTTGCCACCGTTTAAAAAATTGATTTAAAAGTTTTAAACATAAATAAATTAATTAGTACAATATGGGTATCAAGCTAAATGGTTTTGAAAAGGTTTTTATATTTTTATTACATACAAGGGGGTTGCCACCTATTCATAAAAAAAATTAAATTCAATTTCAATTATGGAAATTAGATAAGTGAAATATGCATCACAGTATAGGTGTCGGGCGAGAGAGGTTTTAGTTTGGAAATATTTTAATGAGGGTTGTCACCTAATTTAACAATCGAAAGTAATTAAATTATGCAGAAGTTACTAAGGTATGTGAAATAATAAAACATGGGTGTCAAGCAAAAGTGAGTTCAGAGCTTTACTTTTAGCATCCAGACTATTTTTGTGGTTTTTAAAAAGGGTTGCCACCTGTTTTAAATATTAAATTCGAATTATATTAAATTTATTAAGATGGGTATCAGTCAAAATAATTTTGAAAAATGTTTATTTCCAATCTTCATGCAGGAGGGTTGCCACCTGTTCAAAACACCACGTTTGAGATGAATTAAAGCAAGAGGTCTAAGAACGTTTTAGTTTAAAAATATTTTCAAGAGGGTTGCCACCTAATTGAAGTGGAATTTAATTCAACTATACACAGGGTGTATGAAAGAAAAATATATGGGTGATAAACTAAAGAACGTTAATAAATCTTTAGAATATTTTTGAGACGTTTGAAGAGGATTGCCATCTGTTTGAAAATGTTCAGATTAATAATAAATGTATATAATCCTGTTTTTTGTTCATCTGAAAGAATTTTAAAAATTCTATAAAAATATATTATGTTTGAAATGCAACTAGTGATGGGCGAAATAGCTATTTTTCTGTATCAGAGAAAATATTGATTGCGACTTTTAAATCACAGCGATTTTTTATTGCTATTGTAATCGCTAGTTCTTTTAATAACACAGAAATATATAGTAGTTCTAATAAATGCTGACAAATCAGTGCTGGTAAATAGTACACGGTACATGTAGGGATAATTTCCTACCCGTAGGGATTTCAGTCGAATAAATGAGTGTAGGGAAAAGAGGGAAAAGGTTAATTTATTCTTAATAAGTTTCTATATTTCACTTCGTTTTTTATTAATATTTGCAGCCGTCTTTATCCGTTGAGACAAATTTT